TGTGGGGGAGCTTTTTAGGGGGAAAAACGGGGGAAAAGGGGCGTTTTGGGGATGTTTTATAGGGAAAAAAGGGAAAAGTGGAATTTTTGGGAGTCTTTTTAGGGGGAAAGGGGAATTTTGGAGATGTTTTATGGGGAGAAAAGGGGAAAGGGGAATTTTGGGGAGGTTTTTTAAGGGGAAAAAGGGACATTTTGGGAATGTTTTTGTCGGAAAAAAAGAGAAAAGCGTCGCTTTGGGGAATATTTTTAGGGAGAAAAGTGGAAAAGGGCATTTTGGAGACGCTTTATTTCGGGAAAAATGTAAAAAGCGCTTTTTGCGGGGCTTTTTTTCGCCAAAAAAACAAAAACGGCGCTCCGGGGACGCTTTTTTTAAGGGCAAGCGGGGCCGGGGCGATGTTTTTTGGGTGGAAAAAAGCGGATTTTAAGCGCGGGCGGCTCTCGCAGGCGCTCCGTGGTACCCGATGCACACGAGATCCCGGAAAAAGCGCAAACCCTACTCCAAGCTGCAGCTGGCCGAGCTGGAAGGGGAATTTTTGGTGAACGAATTCATCACGCGCCAGAGGCGGAGGGAGCTCTCGGACCGCCTGAACCTGAGCGATCAGCAGGTGAAAATCTGGTTCCAGAACCGCCGCATGAAAAAGAAAAGACTCCTCCTCAGGGAGCAGGCGCTCTCCTTCTTCTAAATAAAATCCGGGTGGAATCGGGGTTAAAAAATCAGCAAAAACGGCAAAAAAAAAAAAAAATTAAAAAGGAAAAAAAAAAAAAATTCCAAATAAATCCCCACGGAGACTCTGAATCCCTTCCCGTCCCGCCCTGAGAAATCGGGGAATAAAGAGAAAAAAAAGGGAAAAAATCGCGTCTAAAAATAGGGAAAAAGCGATCCCCGCCAGCGGAAAAAGGAAAAAATAATTCTAAATAATAGGAAATGTTCCGGCTGATAGGAAGGAAAATGTTCGGTGGAGGCGGCGTTGGAGAGGACCCAGGGGAGGTTTTTTGGGAGCTTTCCCAAGGCCCAGCTCAGGTAGGGGCTCCGCGGGAATTCCCGGATTTCCCCCCAAAACCGCGCTGGGAGGATTCGGGGCTCAGCGGGAGGGAAAAGCAGCGAAAATTCGGGATTTGGGAAAAAATCCCGGATGGGAAACGCGGTTTTTGTTGTTGGAGTGGAGGGATTTGGGGGAGAATCGGGGATTTTTTTTCCGGCTGGAAGTTGGATTTTTTTCCCTGGAATTGGGAGGCGTCTTCGTCACCCTCAGAGAGGAAAAAAAAACCGGAATTTTTTCCACTTCAGCTCAACTTTTCCTGGAGATTTTTCCTTCCCTCGCTGCCGATTTTCCGGCGTTTCTTTGCCGTGTCCCGATATTCCGCCTTCCCTCCTTCCAGAACTTTTTATTCTTTTCCCGTCTCTGGGATGTGGAGTTTGGGCTGGAAACGCTGGAAATTGGGCAGGAGAAAATCCCTTTTCCCGGGGGATCATTCCCGAATCCTGCCAGAACTCGGGATATTCCCAGGCGCTTTTTTCTCCCTCAAAAGCGATTTTCAACCCCCCGAAAAAAGAGAAAATTCCCTTGATTGGAAGGAAATCCAAACCAGCTCAAAACCCCGCGGGTTTTACTAAAAACCTCGCTTTTTCCTCCCGAAAAATCCCCATTTTTTACCTTTTCGGGACCAGGAATGGGATCCCAAAGCTCTTCCCAGGTTTTTTCGCCCCCCCGGCGCAGCAGAGCCGAGAATTCCTGGGATAAAACCCCCGAGTTTTGGTGATTCCCGGTTTCGTTTTGCGCTCGAGGCACTTTCGGGATTTTTGGGATTTCGGGGGGAGCGCGTGGGGGCTTTTCCTGCCGGGAAATTGAGACTTTGGGCTGAGGAAAAGGCCGGGAAATTCGGGGAGAGCTCGGGAAAATCGGGAATTTTCAGCGGAGGAGCGGCCGGGATTATTTTGGGGTTATTTTGGGGTTATTTTGGGGTTATTTTGGGGTTATTTTGGGATTATTTTGGGGTTATTTTGGGGTTATTTTGGGATTATTTTGGGGTTATTTTGGGATGTTCCCACGCGCCGCGTTCACGGTCACGGCCGGCGCCGCTTTTATGGACGAATCCCGAAAAAAAAACCGGGAAAAAACCAAAACAATCCTTGGCAGGAGCCTTTTCCCTCTTTTCCTGCGCCTTTTTTCCTCCTCTCGCCATCCTGAGCTTCTCCTTCCCCTTTTCCTCCCCATTTTTCCCCCATTTTCCCAATTTTTTCCCTTTTTTCCTCCTCCCTTTTTCCTTTTTTTCCCTTTTTTCCCTCTTTTCCCTCTTTTCCCCCTTTTTTCCCGTCATTCCCCCCTTTTTTCCTCCCCATTTTTCCCTCCTCTTTCCCCCCTTTTTCCTGATTTTCCCCTTTTCCCCCGTTTTTCCCATTCCCACCGCAATTATTCCCATTTTTATTCCCTTCCCGAGGTTTTTCGGCCGGGAAAAAATCCCCCAAACTCCTCCCTGGACCCCAATTTTGGGCTCAGGGTCCCCCTTTTCCCCTCGTTTTTCCCTTTTTTCCCCATTTTTTCCCATTTTTCCCTTCCAGAGCCGCCGCGGGGCCGTGCAATAAAACCCAAAACGTCTCCAAATCCCCATTTTTGGACACTTTCGCTCCAGCCCCAGCTCGTGCAATGGGAAAATTCAATTTTCGGGGGAATTTTGGGGTTCGGGCGCTCTCCCAGGAGATTTCGGGGGCTGGAAATTCCTCCCAAAACCCCAAATCCGCGCGGATTTTGCTGAATTTTGGGTCCTGAAGCGCTCCCGGAGGGGCGGGAGGGGGGCGGAACCTCGGGAATTTTGGGATTCATCCCGAAAAAACCCAAATGGAGCCGCGTCCTTCTTGTCCCGCCCGGGAAATCCAAATAAAATGAAATAAAATGCGAATAAAACGGAAATAAATCGAGAATGGGAATTAAAAACGAAACCGAAATGAGAATAAAACGAGAGGAAAAGGCGAAACTGAAATGAGAATAAAATGAAAAAAAATGAAAAGCGAATTGAGAATGCAGCGAAAATGGGAAAATAAAATGGAAAAATAAAAAAGAAATTAAAATGGAAAAAAATAAAAATAAAATGGAAATAAAATGGGAATAAAATGGAAATAAAATGAGAATAAAACGAGGATAAAATGAGAATAAAACGAGGATAAAATGAGAATAAAATGGGAATAAAAGGAAATTCGAATTCCCCGAGGCAGCAGCAGCGAAAATGCCGGAAAATGGGAATTTGGGCCCAATTCCCGTCCCCGAGACGCGCTGGGGCTTTTCCTCCTGCGCTGGCCCTGCTTTAATTAATTCCCGGCGTTGATTGCCGGCCGTAATTAGCGAGAAATGTGGGTCCGAGGGGTGAGTCCTATGCAATGTCTGTCCTGTGCAACGCTTCCGGCTGATATCTGTAATTAATGCTGAATTAATTAATGAACCAATTAATGAATGTGTTCTGATGTCATTTCTGAGGAGAAGAATAAAGAAACTCAGCCCAAAACCGCGCCGTGCTCATTATTATTATTATTATTGCTATTATTGCTATTTATTATTATTATTACTAATTATTAGTAGTATTATTACTCTTGTTGTATTTTTAGTATTTTGAATATTTCTTACTTTATTTTATTTTTTATTTTTATTTTTATTTTTATTTTTATTTTTATTTTTATTTTTATTTTTATTCTTATTTTTATTTTTATTTTTATTTTTATTTTTATTCTTATTCTTATTCTTATTCTTATTCTTATTCTTATTATTGCCTTATTGTTAATTTATCAATTATTTTTATTGCTATTATCATTATTATTAGTATTATTAATATTATTATTATTACTATTGTTATTCGCCATGAAAATGAAAAATCGCGCTTGAAGCTCATCCAAAAAAGAGGGGAAAAAATAAAAATATTGGAGGGTTTATTTTAATAATTTTAATAATTATTAGTTGAATAATTTGAAAAAAGTGATGTAACAAAATGCGCTGGAAAATTCAAAATCCCGAGAGGAATAAAGGGGAAAATCCCGGGAAAACAAAATCCGGGAATTCGGCGCTAATTGGGGAGAAAATTCCGCCCCCAGGTCGGGATTTGGGGGGTGGGAAGAGCTGGAATTTCGATTTTTAAGGGGAAAAAAAAAGATGGAATTCAGGTTTTTAGGGGAAAAAAGCCGGAATTTGGTTTTTTTTTTTTTTGTGAATTTGGGATCCTTTTGTCCGTGGGAAGGGAAACAACAGCCCAGGCTGAAACCTCCCCAAAAATCGGGAATAATTTGATTTTCAGAGCATCGATTCCAGCGGGAAACTCGCGGGAAAAAGCGGAAGAAATGAGGAAAATCCGGGAAAAATCGGGGACGGAAAAAAAATCGCTTTTTTTTTTTTTTTTCTGGCTCGCTGGGCTCGAGGAGCCCCGGCGGGGATTTAATGAGCGCGGGGATTAATTAATGAATGGATCTCGTTGGAGGGAGATGGATGAACGCCCGGCCGCGGGAAGCGGGGCGGGGAATAAGAGAAAAACACGGAATTAAAGAGAAAAACCCGAAATAAAGAGGAAAAACCCGAAATAAAGAGAAAATCCCGAATTTAAATAGAAAATCCCGCTGGGTTTCCGCTGCTCGCTGCGGGAAAAGCCCCGCGATTGTTCCTGGGCGTTTGCTCGGAGCTGGGAAAATTCCCTTTTTCCCTCTTTTTCCCCCAAATTCTCCCCTATTTTATTCTCCCATATCCCCCCCATTTTTCCGCTTTATTATTCCCTTTTTCCCCCATTTTTTGCCCCCTTTTTCCTCCTTTTCCTCCCCATTTCCCCCCCGAAGGGACCCGGGGGAGTTTTTGGGGTCCTGAAGGGACCTTGGATCCATTTTTGGGGGTCCCTGCAGGGACTTTGGGGCGGTTTTGGGGGTCCCAAAGGGACCAAGGGAGCGATTTTGGGGTCTGAAGGGACCCTGGGGGTGATTTTGGGGTCCTGAAAGGGTCACGGGGGCGTTTTTGGGGTCCTGGCGGGTCCAGAGGGACATTTTGGGGTTCTGCTCTCAAATTTGGGGGGATCCGGAAGGGACCGGGGGCGTTTTGGGGGAGGTGGAAGGACCGGGGGGGAATTTTTGGGGCGCCTGAAGGGATTTGGGGCATTTTGGGGATTCAGACGTGACCGGGGGCGTTTTTGGGGGACCCCAAAGGGCTCTTGGGGCGTTTTTGGGCGTCCTGAAGGGACCGGGGAGGATTTTTGGGATTTTGGGGATTTTGTGGCTCCATTTTTGGGGTCCAAAGCGCCCCCGGATCCCTTTTTGGGGTCCCGCCCTCCCGCCCCGGTTTTTCCATTTCAAACTCCCCCTTCCCTCCTCTCCCCAAATTCCCAAAACCCCAAATTCCCGAACCCCCAAAACCCCAAAATCCCAAATTCCCGAACCCCCAAAACCCCAAAATCCCGAACCCCCAAAATCCCAAATTCCCGCTTTTCCGGGCCCATCCCAATCCCGATTTTATTGGGATTTATCCCGCGCGTCCCCCCCACCTTTGGGGCCGGGGAGTTTTTTATGGCTCCGAAATTCTCTTTATGGGGCGCCGCTGAAATAAAACATCTGCTCCTCCCTAAAAACCGGGAATTTCCACATTTTTCCCTTTTTCCCCCTTTTTTTTTCCCGCCCCAAATCCATCGATCCCAGCGCTGGCCTTGGATTTTTTTTTTTTTTTTT